ACGGTACGAAAGTGCAAAAACGCATAATCGCTCCGGCCCGCCTGGTGCGTTCCAGCCTGGGTTATGTGTTTTATGCTGTGCAGCAGCTGTACAAAGCGCATATTTTCATGCCTCTATCAGTGTATGTGTTTTTATATCTGCCTATGCATATATATACATATATATAAGTATATATATATATATATATGTATAGTTTTTGTGTGCGCTTGTCTTACATATTACACAAGGAAATTTTGGTGAGAAAATCACTAACTCAAGAATCAGAATGGTTAGGAGGTTCAATATTTTATGTGGATGTTCTACATTCATATTTAATCCAAATGGTTCAAATTCACCTCCTATGTACACATGGATCGCATGCACGGTCATGTGAAAATTTTGATGCGAAAAGTGCTGGCTCGGAAGTCAAAAATTAGGAAGCTGCAATTTTGGGAGGATGTGCTGCGTCCGTGTGCAATCGAACGGTTTCGATTTCAGCTTTCACTTACACTTATGTTTCACTTACTGGTAAACGAAATTTTGAGTAGGAAATTTCGCAGGTTGCAGTCAGACAATACATGAACCATTTTTACGCACAACAAAGCATAAAATCCTTAACAGGCAGACATCCGCTGATCAAAACACATGATCGCATCAGCTAACCTGGTACGGGCTGCTATTTATCTTTTTCACAAATAGTGTTTGTTGGTATGCGATGCAAATACTTGCTGCAAAAGTGGCTTTTCGTAAGGACAAATGTCTGAGCGAGGATTTTGATAGAGCTTTTTTTTTTAGTTTGGCAGTAGCAGCAATTCCGGAAGGTCTTCCAATCGTTGTAGCAGTTACGCTGGCAATCGGAGTAATCCGAATGGCAGCTCGTCAAGCGGTTGTAAAAAAGCTACCAGCAGTTGAGACGCTTGGCTGTGTAACAGTGATATGCTCAGATAAAACGGGTACATTAACGAAGAATGAAATGACTGCTGTTGTTGTGGTGGCTGCTGATGGACAAACTGCCGATGTAACCATTTTTTTTTTTTTT